TTTTTGGGAGATGGTTGGTGGTGTCATGTAGATGTGCAGTAAGGTTTCGGAATTTTGATTTTGCCCTGGGGGGTCGAATGGGGGTTGAAAAATGACGTTTTTTATGCAAAAAGCCCCGTCTTCCCTGAACTCCTCTTACATTTTACACAGTAGCCTATTCATCTTTTGGGAGATGGTTGGTGGTGTCATGTAGATGTGCAGTAAGGTTTCGGAATGTTGATTTTGCCCCGGGGAGTCAAATGGGGGTCGAAAAATGATGTTTTTTATGCAAAAAGCCCTGTCTTCCCTGAACTCCTCTTACATTTTACACAGTTAGAGCCTAATCATCTTTTGGGAGATGGTTGGTGGTGTCCTGTAGATGTGCAGTAAGGTTTCGGAATTTTGATTTTGCCCCTGGGGAGTCAAATGGGGGTCGAAAAATGACGTTTTTTATGCAAAAAGCCCCGTCTTCCCTGAACTCCTCTTACATTTTACACAGTAGCCTAATCATCTTTTGGGAGATGGTTGGTGGTGTCCTGTAGATGTGCAGTAAGGTTTCGGAATTTTGATTTTGCCCCGGGGGGTCAAATGGGGGTCGAAAAATGACGTTTTTTATGCAAAAAGCCCTGTCTTCCCTGAACTCCTCTTACATTTTACAAAGTAGCCTAATCATCTTTTGGGAGATGGTTGGTGGTGTCCTGTAGATGTACAGTAAGGTTTTGGAATGTTGATTTTGCCCCGGGGGGAGTAATGGTGTCGAAAAATGATATTTCAAAAAGTGAGGTCAAGGTCAAAGGAAAATTCAAGGTCAAAATATGTTGACGTATTAATAGCTCTTAGCAGTATGTATCAGCATATGATGTTTGATAAATATATCTTGAATTGTTTATTCAAAACTGGTCTAGACATTAATTTTAGAAAAGTGAGGTCAAGGTCACAGGAAAGGTCAAGGTCAAAAAGAGTGAAGCATCGTAAAGCTTACATCAGTATGTATCATCATGTGAAGTTTCATTACACAACTTGAATGGTTTCTTTAAAATAAAGCTAAACACTAATTTAAAGAAAAGTTATGTGAAGGTCAAAGGAAAAGTCAAAGTCAAAAAATATTGCTGCAGCTGGATATTTACATCAGTATGCATCAATATATGAACTTTGATAAAAATATCTAGAAAGTTTCTTTGAGCCCGATGGAAAGACAGATGGAAGGGTGGACGACGGACATGACAAAAACTATACATGTATTCCTAATCATGGTGTGGCATAAAAAACTTGAATCTACATTATATGAGCATGTTTCCATATATCAAGATTATACAAGCAAATTCAAAGAATTGTGGTCCTCTGCTTTCTGTGTTTTAGTGAATGAGATACCATAATTTATGGCAGATTGTGTGTCAAATATGCACCCCTATCATATATCAATTTTTGAAAATTGGGTCAAAGGGGAAAAATCATAGCATGCTCTGAAACATTTTGTTGCAGGTAATGTACATGTCAAATATGAAAGTTCTATCTCTTTTGAATCAAAAGTTATATATACAATATAATATTTTTGAAAAGTAGGTTAAACTTCTAGGTCAAGGTCACAGAGTCAAAAGTCATGATATATTTAGAAAAGTATATTCACATGTAATAAACATGTATAATTTGAATGCCCTTTCTTTTCTCTTTCAAAATGATCAATTTAAAATGTTATTTTTTGGAAAGTAGGTAAAACTTTAAGGTCAAGGTCTCACTTGGGTTGAAAAATCATAGTATATTTAGAAAGTTTTGTGGTAATGTGCATGTGAAATATGAAAGCACTATCTCTTATCATTCAAAAGTTATGACCAAGGTTAAATTTATTGTGACAGATGCACATACTAGCTGTCAATAAGATGGACAGACTGACAGACAAATGAGATTTAGTGTCCCCTCCCTTTCCCCAAAATGGGGGACAAGAATATGCCCTTGCTGTTCTTGAGAAGAAGATTTATGATGGAAAAAATCCCCTGCATATTTCTTAACGCAAATTAATATTGTGTTCTTATGTCATTTTGTTTGTTGTTAAACATCCCTCTCAGGAATTTTTCACTCATATGGAGACACCACCATTTGAAAAATAATGAGGACAAGTTAGATTTGAGGTCAACATTCATTTTAGGAGTTTTCAACCATTAAGACGTAAAGAAATATTAACTCGATCCTTCCCCTTACCCCTTCCCAGACCCCTGTTTGTTCATGTATGCAAAAAAAAAAAATGTTTATACAAATAGTTTAATGTGGTCCATCTCTGAATGATTCTCATTCCTAATTCTAGGAAGATATGTTGACACAAATTCATGAATAAAATGTCAAGTAATCTTATCATTGATGCACTTTTATTTAATTTACTGCAGTCATATTGTGAACATTTCCAGCTCATTAGGAGAGTGGGGATGACCTCTAGGGGTTCATAACCTTTATACCATTAAATTTACATAACATAATAACACAATATTATGTATAGTCAAATGGAAAAAGTTTCCTACTATTTAGGAGTCACATGATCATTTGTCATTACAGGGACAGGGAAATGGATTGGGAGATCGCCCCCTCAACACCCCCCCCTTCCCCCGGAATTTGCAGGACTATAATATGTACTGGAGGAAATAAAAAATGACTTTGGATGCCCTAAGTGTCCCTCCACCCTAGAAAACAGACCAAACCATAGCTTCTTTTTCTTGCTTCTCAGGAAATCAGGAAATTCTGGTCTGGAACCCCCCCTACCCCCCCCCTCCCCCCTCCCCCCCCCCCCCCCCCCCCCCCCCCCCCCCCCCCGTCCCTCCAAGAAAAAAAAATTCTGGATCTTAACTGAATGTAACGTTGATAACGGGGGATAACTCTTCAGAATGTGAAATTCGTCTATTGTAGCATCGGATGACCTTTGATCCTTTAAACTTTTACCTAACCGTTTGCATTTCAGACTATTTTACCCAAATATATACCAAAACTTGTACTTACCGATTGTTATTATTTAGGCCCTGTCATCTTCATGAAATATAATCCAGTTAAAACACAAAATGAAATAATTCCTACCGACATATATGCAAATATGCACACTAGTATCCTACTGCACGTGCAGTGAAATCTAAAATGATAATGCCAATGGTAAAACTAGTACTTAAGTTGGGTACGTGACGCAAGCCAAATGTGATGCAGGTGTTCAGATACATGTATAGTGCAAGAATAAATTGAAAATTATCATTTACAAAAGATGTTTTATTTTAGCTTTGCAATCTAGGCCTATTTGCAAAAACAGACAAATAAGGTGTGTTTGTGTGTGTGTGTTGATGGGAGACGGGTAGGGGTTGACTATTAAATTGATTGTGTATATGGCAGCTTTCAAGAAGTTTCTGCCTAATCAAATATAAATAAACTTTGCACATATTGAAAAATTCATCAAAATCGCTTTACACTAATTTGAATAATATTATTTGTTGTTAATTTATATGAGAAAATAGAATTAAAAAGTTCAAATTATGTGCCAAAAATCCTCCCCCCCCCCTTTATCAAACCTAATTTACATCATTAATTTAATTCTGTAGTTTAATTTCCGACTGGTAATGAATTAAGAATATGAAATACCTATAAAATGGAGGCCCATGGGTCACATGGTCACTAGCTGCAGGTCTGTAGCCTTATGGTTTTATATATTAGTCTTTGACTGCAGATCCTGTAATGCAAAAAAGGTGCAATTTACGGCGCAATATTTTTTGCGCACTTCTGGGGAGAATTTCTCCACTTTCCAGCATCGGTCAATTTACTACCTTTCACTCCCTAATTCTAGGCACATTATTTAATCAATCTGTATATTTTATCCATCTCCCAACCCTTTATAGTCGTCTCTACTCGAGATAAACTCGCTTGATTAAAATTATTTGTTAGATTGCTGAAAATTCACATCAAGCGAGTTTATTGCCTGTAGAGATTACTATAAATGGCTGGGAGGTGGACAAAATATACATATTGGCCAGAGAATGTGTCTAAAATTAGGGAGTGAAAGGTAGTTGATTGCCTAATGCTAGAAAGTGGAGAAATTCTGCCCAAAAGTGCTCAAAAAATATTGCGCGTAAATTGCACCTTTTTTGCATATGGGGATCTGTAGCGTTATGATCAAAGACAAATATATAAAACCAGATCTGCAGCTACATGGTCACCTGAGCATATTATGCTCAATTTGATGAATACATGTATTATGTAAATTATTGAATTATATTGACTTTTCATTGGCGGATCCAGAGGGGGGGGGGGGGGAGTCCGGGGTTGGAACCCCCCCTTTATTTTTTGCCAAGTGGAGAGAGAGAGGATAAAAAAGTTTTCTTAGATTATATATTTATAAGTCTTACTTATTTATTGAATAGATAGATTCTCACACATTTAGTTTCCTCCAATCACCTTCTCTATTATATTTTTTATGAGAGAATGGTTGCGAGGTTTAATTTGATATTAGATTCCCGCGATCTTGGCTGTGTTGGCTAAATATGTACCGTTTTTATCATATCTTGATCAATTGAACGAACTAACATGTAACTCTTTGTTTTAAAGCCCACCCGCACCCCACCCCAAAAAGGTTTTTCAAATTCTTAAAGAAAATTCTTTATAATCTTCAACAGTGAAACGAATCCATTCAATTTTAAGGCTTCCGTAATTTTTGATTTTTTTTTTTTTTTTTTTTTTTTTGGTTTGTTTTTATTTTGTTCGGAATGGGGGTACGCTTTTTTTTTGAAGGACATAAAAAATAGATAGTATTTACCACAACCTTAGATCTTTCCATACAAGTCTGTGAATCTTTGCTTGAGAATATGTAGGGGGGGGGGGTTAGAGGGGCATAACCCTGGAACCCCCCCTTTCAAAAATTGCTGGATCCGCCCCTGCTTTTTCCTTGGTAAAGCCCAATATGAAGAAGTGTGCATGTAGAGGCAAACACCTTAGTGCGGGTATTACTGTCTCATGACAGCATCTAGTAATATTAATGTCTTGATATTATTATTTTTGATCAGCTGCACTGGACTACTTGCTTCATCACCCCCTCCCCCCAGTTGACATAGAGAAATTTGAGGAGGAGTGTGGTGTGGGCGTGGTCATAACCCCGGACCAAGTGGAGGCAGCGGTAAGGAAACCACGGTACAACTTAATGTACCCAAATTGAATATGTGTACAGCTTAATATACCCAACAGCTGTACAGCTTAATATACTGGAAATCAACTTTAATTTGTATGTGAGAAATGTTCGCGAGTTCTGTGACCTACTTTTATCGGTGAATATTAATCACTGTGAACCAATAATTTTGATATTAAATATTTGTAAGGAATGTTTCCATGGTCATGAAAATTAAAAGTCGCATATTGTTTAAAACTAACGAATAAAAGATGTCCTGAATAATAGTTGGTTTACAGTATCCAAAATAAATTTAGAAAAAGTAGAAGAATGTATTTTGAAAATTAAAGAATGGCTTTGTAAATGCTGTAACAGTAACTATAATTTTATGTGATAATTACATGTGATTTAAAAGTACAAATTCCTTTTTCACCTTTGTTCCTATAATTTCTAAATGACGCACTTGTTTGTCTTATACAGGTTGAAGAAGTCATTGGTAAATACAGGCCGGAGCTGTTGGAGAAGAGATACAGGTTTAACATGGGCACTCTGATGGGTATGGTTTTTTCCCTACACTATTATATTATGTAAACAAATAATAAAACTGTTTAAACATATACATTATCATCATGATAATTTTTAAAAGTATACACGCTATAACTTGCGCCAGTTAAAATACGATTGGAAATTGATATCATTTGTTTATCAATAAAAGTTACGAAAACACTGTAAATTACACCATTAAAATTAAACGCGTTACAAAGTTATCAAATTATGATTATTTATTATCCTGCAAGGAAAGAGAAATAGCTAATTTTAAATAGATCCATCACGTGACGCTGTCGCTACTTTTAGATTGATAAACACACGTGGCGTAAAGAAAACAAAGTAAGCCGTTTTGGATACTGCTCACTTTTAACGTGGATGGCAAGCGTCTTACTCTTAATGGTACTTATCTTTTAATGTATTCAGTATCATTCATCTTCTCTGTTATGAAGCATATTATATATATTAATAATTGTTGTCAAAATGCAACATATCTCGTTGTCTGTGATTTCCCGTGGACATGTGTTTCTATATATAGGCCTACTGTTGACGCACTTCCTTCATCAATATTCACGAAAAGACTGAATTCTTAATTCCTAGATATGTTTAATTGTTTTGTTATTACAACGACATCTAAAGAATAGTTTTGTGGAAAGTATTATTTTTCATTACACTTCATGTGTTTTAAATCATTAATCATTTTGTTTCACACAAAATTCGGCGTTCATATAACGTATATGACTTTAAGAATGTATAACTCAAAATATACAACAATTAATATCCAAGTGACTCTCCTTTTTATGAAGGTAAAATATTATGTGCTGATACGTTCACATTGTCTGATATTTAATGTTTGACATTGTAGGAGAGGCTCGGTCCAGACTTAAGTTTACTGATGTGTGATATTTAATGTTTGACATTGTAGGAGAGGCTCGGTCCAGACTTAAGTTTGCTGACGGTAAGATCGTGAAAAATGAAGTGGACATGCAAGTTTTAGATCTACTTGGTCCAAAAACCGAGGCCGACCTAGAAAAACCAGCCAAGAAAAAGGTTAAAGATATCTTCCTAATTATTGGATTCTAAAACCAGGAAATCACGAAGATATAAGAACTGTGTTTTCTTTTAATGCTTTGTTTTCCAAAAATGGCTAAACATTTGATACAATGTAGACATTTATTTTATAGATTTGTACAGTAATGGATCATTAAATCAACCTTGAACCTTCAAAGCAAATTTCATGAACTTTTTTAAAAATAATAGATATTTTAACATATTGAATTATTTCAAACATATTATTTTATTGAAGTTATAGTCACAATAGTAACAGTACCACATTATTGTTTTGTAGGCCGTTAAGGAGCAGAACGACAGTGGGACAAAGCAAGGAGCCAAAAAAGAGACCCAGACCGCAGAAAGCTGTAGGTCGCACTGAAAATATGTAATACAGAGAAAAATATGTAAAACAGAGAAAATATGTAAAACAGAAAATATGTAAAAAAAAAAAAAAAAAAAAGAGAAAATATGTATAACTGTGAAAAATATGTAAAACAGAGAAAATATGTAAAACAGAGAAAATATGTAAAACAGAAAATATGTAAAAAAAAAAAAAAAAGAGAGAGAGAAAATATGTATAACTGTGAAAAATATGTAATACAGAGAAAAATATGTAAAACAGAGAAAATATGTAAAACAGCAAAAAATATGTAAAACAGAGAAAAATATGTAAAATGGAAAAAAAATATGCAACATAGAGAAATGTGTAACATAGAGAAATTATATATAAAAGAGAAAATTTGTAACATAAAGAAAAATATGTAACAAAGAGAAAATATGTAACAAATAGAAAATATGCAACATATAGAAATGATTTCACTGTAAAAAGAAACACATAATCTTTAAACACTGTAAGTCACATAGAAAATAGGCAACGGCAAAAATTGTAAATTTTTAAAACTACATATATACATCTCAAAATAATTTTACCATCGATGTTGTATAGAATTCATTGAAATAAGAATAGATTTGTACCAAAGATTTGACTTAGTGCTAATTATGTTTACTCTAAGCACCTGCCTTTTTCTATGTAACCACAATCTTAACTTTTATAGGTTTAGTGTAGAGATTCTGACATGAATAAATATGTAAATCAATTTGAGAATGATTACCGTGGAAAAAGATTTCTTTTAATTGTCTACAGTTGTCAGTGAGGATGGGGAGGTCAAGAGCTTTATGGAGGTGATGGGACAGGCCATGAAGTTCCACAAAACAGGTACATAATCCACAAAACAGGTACGTCATTCACAGGTACATGACTCAGGTAAGCAATTCACAGACTGATGCACAATTAACCAAACAGGAATGCAATTCTCGGACAGATACACAATTCACATGCTGTTATAATGAACTAAACAGGTATGCAATTTACAAAATAGGGACATGTACGCAATTCACAGAACAGGTACAAAACGAAACAGATTTGCAATTCATTGAATAAGTATGCAATGCACAACAGATACATAATTCACTACATAATGAAATTGAATACATTTGTAGAAAGAATATTTAATATGAAGACAAAAGTACTTTTATTTGAATTCTTAGTCCTTGCATGTTTATATTTCTACAATTTTACCCATTGATAATGTCTTGGTCCTTTATTGGCTGCTGGTAACGTTCGGCTGATTTTTTTGTAGGAGAGAATTACAAGACTGACGGGTATGTGATCACACCCAACACAATGGATCTCTTGAAGAAACACCTAAAAGAGATCGGGGGCAAGGTAGGTGTACCATTAGTTTTATAAAGAGATTGGGGGAGGGTAGGTATATCATTACATAGTAGAGAAACAGCAACTAAAATGTCATAGTCTGTGCTTTTAAACATTTACTGGTAAATCTTTTCTGATCAAGAAACTTCAGATCATTCTACCTATTATGGGAAAATTGAAGTTTCCCTCTACACAGAAGAATGGTAGTGTTGAATTCAACTTCTCAAAGTAATTCAAGTTTTTAGGATCAGATGAAACACTGAACAAGATTTGATGCAGCATATACTGTAGACGTACTTTTTTCCACGGGGTCATAATTCCGCGGAATCTCAGTTTCTGTTTAATCCGCGGGTAGAAAATTACGCGGATTTCTTAGACTGTCACTATATGCCATACATTTATATAAGTACGCTTGGACAATTTTCCGCGGAATGTTTGTGCCCGCGTACATAGCGTAAATTAATACCACGCGGAAAAAAGTACTTCTACAGTAAGTCAGTCACATACAGGGTTATCCCTAGTTTTTAAAATCCAGGGGCGGGGGAATTCCCCCTCCTATAGTGATGTCATCCCAGGGTTATTCCCGCACTCCCCCTCAACCTTTTATTTGGAGGGGGACACCTGACATCTTCCTACTTCTTAAATGTCCCCTGTAATTTCAATTCTTACAGAAAACCCTGAACATGAAGGTTTCTGTCTTATGTAAAGGGTGTTAAGAAAGTTCATTCCACATTTTTCTTTTATTTTTGAAAAGAAGTATGATGAGAATGTCTACAAAATTTGTGATATTTCATCTTTACAGACTTCATTTTTGTACTGATAAGGTTTTAACTGTCTTTTTTGAATCAATAAGGGGAGGCCAGGTATTAGAACAGACGATGTCTGTTCAGAATAAAATAGGCATGACGTATATTTGTGACATATATTAAGCACACAGGTCAAAACATCCTTTCAAATTTAATGAAAAATTATGAAGTCGGTAAAAAATTTCAACTTGACAAACCTATTCTTTTTAAAAGTGATCTATCGTTCTTATACCTATGCTCATCAGCTTGACTGATGCAAGATAAGATATGAAGAAACAAAAGTAAATTATCCTTTACTTTCACTTAAAATGACCAGCATTTCTATCATTAGAGTGCTTTAAAGATGTCACATATATTTTCATATGGAAGAAAAATCTTAAAATTTCCCGCTAGAAATGAATTGCTATAAATCTAAAGCACACTCTTGTAATTTTGTCAGACTTGAAAATTCATCTCTTTAGTTAAGCACTTCTTTGAATTTTTTAAAAATATTTCATCATGGAACAGACTTTCTTAACACCCCTTACATGTCCAATTGAATGCATTTAACAAGTTTAAAAATATTTTCAGGTTCACACTCGATTTCCTCCTGAGCCAAACGGAATCTTACACATAGGACACGCTAAAGCAATCAACTTTAACTTTGGCTATGCGAAGGTGAGCATCATATTTCTTATTTATTGTTTATGTTATCATTTGAAAATTAATTAGTTTCAAGTTCATTTTGAAAATTTCAGCTGCAATTTAACTGCTGTTTATATTTTAGCATCTATTGTTGTTTAGTTCTGCTTCATGTTTTGAAAAAGTTGTGTTAACCTTCACCTAATGATGTATAAGTTACTAATTCGAGTTTGAATCCCATCTAGAAACACAATGGTAACACGTATCTGAGGTACGACGACACTAACCCCGAGAAAGAAGAGGAAAAGTTCTTCACTGGAATCAGAGAAATGGTAGAATGGCTGGGTAAGCTTTCTTTGTTGATTTGTCTGTGTCCATTATAGCTCATCTGAGCTTCCCCTCAGCTCAAAGCTCAAGTGAGCCTTTCTAATAACACATACAGCATCTGTCTGTCTATCTGTTCAGCATTTGGTGTAAGGACATTGTCTGTGTCTTTTTGTTAATATGTTGACCACCTTTTGATAATTATGTTTTATGACTAAATGAAAAATGACTTGAACATGCTTAATATAAGCCAGAGATAAATTACATATGCCTTTAGTTTGAATGCATGTTTGGTGGAACTGTGGAAGTTACCTAGTACAGTGATGATACATGCAAAATTCTTTTATATCCATGTTGATTAATGAATAAAAGAATATTTTTCAAATGAATTATATGATGGAATTGGGCTCTAGTGAGGATATATACTCTAGGTCTGAGAGTAAGCTCTAAACAACTCTCCGTCTGTTTTAAGATATTTTTTATTAACCCTCAGGATACAAGCCATTTAAGGTGACCCATGCATCGGATAATTTTGACAAGCTTTACGAGTACGCTGTAGAACTGATAAAGCGGGGCGATGCCTACGTCTGTCACATGCGGTCTGAGGACCTGAAGGGCTTCGACACGCCGGACTCCCCGTGGAGGGACCGCCCCATCGAGGAATCTCTACAGCTGTTTGAAGTAGGTCAACAACATGAATTTTCAGTGGCTGTCTTCCAGACCAACAAGCTAAATATCTGCAGCTATACATAAACAGTTTGAATAAGATTCATGTACCCTGATTTAATGTTTAGATGTAAATTCATATCCTTGTCATCTCTGCTCTTGATTTAAATGAAGTCCACAACAATTAGATATTTCATATGCATTTTGTTAGGATTTGTTCATCGACGTTCAACATGTTGTTTACATGTTCATGTTACGTTTGTCCCAGAAATCCCGCGAGATTTGTACATTCTCCGACTTTTTCACAAAAGAGCGCACTAAGAACTATAACTCTTCACTAGTGGAAATAGAACATATTATTCCTGTAATGAGCTAAATCCTTTTGAAATTCATTTGATGTTAATTGATCAATTTATTAATTGCAAAAATTTAGAAAGTAAGTGGAAATCTGAATCAAAGGCATATGTTGATACATGTATTAATTTTTATCTTTTCTGTTTTTATTAAGGATATGAAAAATGGTAAGATTGGAGAAGGGGGGGCAACTCTGAGAATGAAAACAACACTAGAGGAGGGAAAGAAGGACCCAGTAGCTTACAGAATCAAATTTACCCCCCACCACCGCACGGGGGATAAGTGGTAAGAAAAGGGGGTAACAAAATCAAATTTACCCCCCCCCCCACCACCACCACCGCACGGGGGATAAGTGGTAAGAAAAGGGGGTAACATAATGAAATAATTAAATTTACCCCCACCACTACATGGGGGATAAATGGTAAGAAAAGGGGGATTACAGAATCAAATTTACCCCACATCAATGCACAGGGGACAAGTGGTAAGAAAAGGGGGGTAACTTAATTCAGATATAAATTTACCAATGCACGGGATAAGTGGTTTGAAAATGGTGAAAATAAAGAATTTTTTCTCTCAGATGCAAAGGGAACAAAATCTAATTGAATTTTTGTTTACAGGTGTATCTATCCGACGTATGACTACACACATTGTCTGTGTGATTCCATAGAGAACATCACACACTCACTCTGTACAAAAGAGTTCCAGTCAAGGTACGTAATTGTTTGTCTATTGAAGATAAATAAACATTTTTCAAGTGAAGAAAATATTGAAAATTGTAAATGAAATGAAAATGGGTCAGTCTGAAAAAAATAGAAATATAATGGTGCATTGATCCAGTTTTAATCTTGTATTCCATGTAATGGATTCTTTAATCTACCCCTACCTGCTCATAAAAGAATTTTGAATAAAACATTCATTGCATCTTTTAATTAACTGAATTAGGACCTCTCTCAAATAAAGAAATACAATCTGTAAATGTTACAATGGAATTGAGATAATTGATAGAATTTCGTCAGCAGGCAATCATCGTACTACTGGCTATGTAAGGCTATTAACGCCTACTGTCCAGCTAATTTAATATGATTTCCTCTGTAGACGTTCCTCATACTACTGGCTGTGTAACGCTATAGACGTCTACTGTCTAGCTAATTGAATATGATTTCTTCTGTAGACGTTCCTCATACTACTGGCTGTGTAACGCTATAGACGTCTACTGTCTAGCTAATTTAATATGATTTCTTCTGCAGATGATCCTTGTACTACTGGCTGTGTAACGCTATAGATGTCTATTGTCCAGCTAATTGAATATGATTTCCTCTGTAGACGTTCCTCATACTACTGGCTGTGTAACGCTATAGACGTCTACTGTCAAGCTAATTGAATATGATTTCTTCTGCAGACGATCCTTGTACTACTGGCTGTGTAATGCTATAGACGTCTACTGTCTAGCTAATTGAATATGATTTCTTCTGTAGACGTTCCTCATACTACTGGCTGTGTAACACTATAGACGTCTACTGTCCAGCTAATTTAATATGATGTCTTCTGCAGACGATCGTCATACTACTGGCTGTGTAACGCTATAGACGTCTACTGTCCAGTACAGTGGGAATATGGCCGCCTTAATCTCAACTACGCCGTCGTCTCCAAGAGAAAGATCGCTAAACTGATCACAGAAGGTTATGTCAGGTTTGTAACTTACTGGAATACAAAAAAGATCGCTAAACTTATCACAGAAGGTTACGTCAGGTTTGTAACTTACTGGAATACAAAAAAATCGCTAAACTTATCACAGAAGGTTACGTCAGGTTTGTAAGTTACTGGAATACAAAAAGATCGCTAAACTTATCACAGAAGGTTATGTCAGGTTTGTAAGTTACTTGAATACAAAAAATCGCTAAACTCACAGAAGATTATGTCAGGTTTGTAAATTACTGGAATACAAAAAGATCGCTAAACTCACAGAAGGTTACGTCAGGTTTGTAAGTTACTGGAATACAAAAAAATGGCTAAACTCACAGAAGGTTATGTCAGGTTTATAACTTACTGCAATACAAGAAAATCGGTAAACTCGCAGAAGGTTATGTCAGGTTTGTAAATTACTGGAATACAAAAGAACAAAAGGACATTTCTTTCAATTGTATTATTTGTGTCAGAACTTCTTGATGTCGGTATAAACATATTTTAGGATATCAATTATAAGCGTTAAGATTTTTGTAAGTCTTTGTAAGGAGAGAAGAATTTGTTAAGTAATCTTGTTTGATGATATACACGTCAGATTTGTGAGATAAGTTTTGGGTTTTAATCAGACTTAGTAAGGATAGAAGTATTTGTTAACTATTCGTCTCTGTTGACATATAGGGACTGGGACGACCCCCGTTTGTTTACACTGACTGCCCTTCGGAGAAGGGGATTTCCCCCGGAGGCCATCAACCTCTTCTGTGCCAAGGTAAGCCATGGATTTCTTCTGTTCAATATCCACCACTAGTATGTCTTCATAGCCAACCAAGGAATGTTCATAGCCATCTTAATTTTGTGCTTACTTACTGAAAAAATTGAAAATAGTTATTATTTTACCACAAGGTTCTGAATGATCATATGCATTCTAAGCTTATTTTCATTAAATCTAAATTTGTGTAATTATTATCGATGTGTAATCCTGTTCTCGTCTATTTTTCTGTTATAGGTGGGTGTGACCATGGCACAGACAGTGATAGACCCCTCCATGCTGGAGTCCTGTGTGAGAGATGTTCTCAATGTCACGGCCCCAAGGTCAGTTTCGGCCATTGTTACACCATTAAAATTAATTTGTTCCTATACAAATAGCTACAAAAAAGTCTAACATTCCTAATGTTTTGCTGACCGGGCATAAAAAATTAAAGTTTGTCCGCTAAGTGAGATGTTGGATCTCTCAAACTTTTCTTTTTAGTACATCCTGTCTTGAATTTAGTAAACTCTTTGACCAATGGGTTTTTTATCTAAAAAAAAATCTTTCGATCATTTTCGTCCAAGGAAAACACAAACATGTCGTATTGATTTATGTTTGGAAGTAAAGTCTTTTTTCCTGAATGACTACAAATAATATACTCTCCTTTTACAGAGCAATGGCTGTCCTTGACCCACTGAAAGTGACCATCACGAATTTCCCAGCAGACCAGCCCAACTCACTGACCGTGCCTAATTTTCCCGCAGATGAGAAACGAGGCTCGCACACGATCAGCTTCAAACCTGTCATTTATATTGAAAAGTCCGACTTCAGAGAAGTAAACTTAAGAAATAAATAGCAATGTTAAAAAGTTCTCTGGGAAATGAACGTAGTTGGACATGTGATAAAATCCTGTGAAGCCCGAAACTTTTAACATTGTTGTTTATCACTTCATGTACTGTAAACCAACTTTTATTTGTGTGCAAGAAATTTTCGCGAGGTTCACAAGAACTTCATCATCCCTAATATTTCTTGCCGTGAACCTGTCCTTATAGATAGTCTTTGTGCCTATATTTACAACAGATCCAAAATAGGCTTGATTGCAAAAATTAATAGTCATGAACTAATTTATCGCCATTAAATGGCAAAATAAAGTCTTTGTTTGGTTTACAGTATTTACATTTTAGACAAATAAATTCTGAGTAAAACCACATTTATTACACGAACAGGCCACCGTATTGCTATGTTGTGACTTGCAATGACCTAGAAGTTGTTTGGTCTTGAAAATTTACCTCTCTTCAACATTTGAATATTTAGTTAACAATGATATTCAGCAGTTCTGCTCAGGAATTCTTTGTTTCATTGTAAGAACAATGATTCCAACTGTGATTACAAAAATTGCAAGCAAAGAAGAAAATTTAAAGCAAAATGTTATGTTAGGTTATTATTTGTAGTGACAAGTACCTTTCTGTTTTAATTTTAAAATGCAGTTATAAAAGGAAGTCCAGTTTTGCTTGGTCTTCTGAGAATAATTTAAAAGAGTGCCATGTTTACAGACAGCGAGTTTTATTTGCAGACTGCTGACAAAAATTACAAGAGGTTCGCTGAGAATCAACCCGTCGGCCTACGACATGCCGGCTACATACTCACAGTAGATAAAGTTGTCAAGGTAACCAAAATTAGTGTTTTCAGACTATTCTTCATGTTTAAAGGAAAAGTAAAATTTCATGATCAAGACAAGATACTTAACAGGTTTGGTTTATTTTTGCTCTGTAGGATAATGGTGGAAATGTGACAGAAATCCTGGCTTCCTGTAAGAAGACGAGTGAGACAGATAAACCCAAAGGATTCATACACTGGGTGTCAGATCCTCAGGTCTGTGAGGTCAGGCTCTACGAAAAATTGTAAGTACCATTGATAGGGACATGTTAACTGTGTAGTCATCATTTTTCTTTCATTTCTTGGGCCATCCTTGTTTACAAATTTACATTCTCAAAAACAGTTATTTTGTAAAATAAACATATTTATTCATATTATTGAATTTTCTGAATATATCAGTCACCAATTGAAATGATTCCACAGAATTGATGTAGGTTATGCTCTTATCTTATTCTTACAAATGAAGCAGTACTTTTGTAACATAGAAAAACTGTGATCTATTTTCTTTTTTTCAGATTTTTTCACAAAAACCCAGAAGATCCTGCAGAAGTCCCAGGGGGATTTTTAACAGATATAAACCCTGTAAGTCACTTAGATATCTCAGATATAAACCCTGTAAGTCACTTAGATATCTCAGATATAAACCCTGTAAGTCACTTAGATATCTCAGATATAAACCCTGTAAGTCACTTAGATATCTCAGATATAAACCCTGTAAGTCACTGAGATATCTCAGATATAAACCCTGTAAGTCACTTAGATATCTTAGATATAAACCCAATAAGTTACTCCTATAAAACATTGCTCACCTTAATATCAGATACATGTATACTGTACATGTAAACCCTATAAGATACAAAAATACCTCAGAAAAACCCTGTAAGTCACTTAGATATAAAAGTATCTCAGACATTTACCTTTTAATTCCTTTAGATTCAAAAATATGGCAGATATAAACCGGAATATTGATCTTGTATCTGAATATTAGTTGTTCCTTGTATAATAAATGTCTAATGTCTAATTATTGGAGTCAGAGCCTGTCAATTTTCATTTCTTGTTTATTTATACATATACCTGTTACAGGAATCTCTGAAGATTATCCCCCAAGCTTATGTAGATGCCACGGTTAAGAATGCCAAGGTCTTTGACAAGTTTCAGTTTGAGAGGTTAGGCTTCTTTGCTGTCGACAAAGACTCGAGTCCCGCAAAGGTAGGCCACTCTAAATCACTCGAGATTATCAATAAATAATCAGTCTCTGGACAAGTCAGGATAACCAGGCTTTTACACGGAGATTTATTACAAGCCTAATTAAAAAAAATTATTCCAGTAAATTTTGCTTTATCCAGATTGTTTATATTCAGAAATTGTGCCTATCATGGTTAAAAATTTTCATGCCTTGTTCATAAATTCAGCAATTTAAAATGTTGTCATATGGACTGTTGTGTATCCCACCAATTTCTGTGGAACCAGAGTTCCTTCAATTATAGCAGTCTGATGCCTGTTTACTAGAAAAGCTATTACTATAGAAAGAATAGTGCTTACATGAAGATTACTTTGACTTTTCTAAAATGTGGCTCATGATGTTTCATAACCTGGTACAGTGTACTGGACAAAGGAAGAAACAAGACCTTTCAGTTAAAACTGAAAGGCGGCTCTCAGTGACTTTTCAGTCCAAAATTTCGTATCGCGATATATCACGATTTTTTCCCACAATATCTCGATAATATCATGATTTTTTTAAAAGCAGTTTTTACAATGATTTTATATGAAAAGTCATTACTTTTCTAAGAAATATGCTAGAAAAACAGACCGGTATTTAGGTCTCCGTATAACGATACATATCACACAACAAAAAATCGCGATATACCGGTATACCGATAAAATCGCACATCCCTATTATTTAGCCACTGAATGGCACATACATTTCAGTGACCTTTCAGGAGCCTTTCAGTCACACTTCAGTTACCTTTCAGTCACCATTTAGCGGAAATACTGTAAACCAACTTTTATTCGGGCGACTTTATTTCGCGATTTACCAGGGATAAACTAGTTCGCGATGATTTATTTTCGTGATCAAGCTTTTTGGATCTGATGTTAATAGACATATGCACTTTAAGGACCAGTTCGCAGCGAGAAACATTCGCAATGACGTGACTTTTTTTTCTTTTTTTTATTCAAAATTAGACAAATTTAATGCTATTGTACCAGGAAAAAGTGAAATAATATTCAGTAAAAAGATTGGATGTTAACTGAAAGGTCACTGAAATGTATGTGCCATTCAGTCTACTGAATGGTAACTGAATGATCATGGAAAAGTCACGGGAAAGGATCTTTTCAGTGACCTTTCAGTGAACATTCAGTTACCATTCCGTCGACTGAATGGTGTAATTTCATCCTGTGTGAAAACAGAACTATCAAAAAGTTATCAAAAAGTTATTCATGTTTATTCATGTGTTTTAACATTTGAATTTCCCGAATTTAAGCTCATCAACTTCTATTTTATTTGAAGATGGTGTTCAACAGAACAGTTACCTTGAAAGAAGACCCAGGAAAAAGTTAGATATTGATATCTGAGATATTGACAGGAAAATACTACAATATAGCACTGGAGAAAGGACTAAACATGGAATTATTTATTATCCCCCGCAAAAACGAATTATTTTAATTGACTTGTTCATTTTGGGCTCATGTATAAGGTTTGAGACATAGAATCTAGAATATCTGTACAAAAATGTGAACTTCAGCTTAAAACTACTTATTAAAAAAAAGAAACATCATCAAGTGTTAAAAACAGTTTTTACATTACACAGAGGATAATGTAAATTCATTTGTCTCTTGGGAATAATGACTGGACATGCATCCAGTTAAAGATAAATTAATGAGATTGGTGTGGGAAGTTGTTAAGGCATATCTTATCAATTGTTATATCTAAATCTCCTGGGGATTTGGCACAAGAATTAAAGATCTCTCTTCTCTTATTCTCTTAATTGTAATTTATTGTCTGTCAGAGCACTTCATTACTGGATGACCAGCTATTTATTTTCAAAATGAATTTGATATAAAGTTATCAAGATTAATTTGATTTTGTATAATATGATTTATTTTCAACAATCAGTTTTGCAGAGTGTCATGACACATAATTGCAATATATTTTTTTAATGCAGAAATAAAAAAAATGCTACAATGGAATTACAATGTATTGGAGCATTGGACAATCTAGTTTTAAAACGTGACACTGGGGTGTTCATGATATGAATAAAGATCATAGTAAAGAAGTATGTTTTCATGTTGTACAATATAGCACAGTTTTCACAATTACTTCCAATTATTTGGAGATTCTATAATAATTGGTGAATCCTTTTTGTCACAAGTTGTGAAACTTCAATTGTCTGTCCCAAACAAATAATAGCTAAACGGCTTCCTTACACTTATATCTCATAAATTATTAATAAAGAAATCCTTAGTAAATAGCAGTACATACAGATCATACATATATTGTTGAATTTTTTTCAAAGTAAACAATTCACTGGTTCACACAATGTGTGGTTCTAGATGTTGACAAATGCACTTTTTCTGGAGGTATGTATTGTGTCTGTTGTATTTAAAATCCTCAAGAAGTGTCCAATCGACCAGCTTCGTTCTGTTTTTACGTATGAATTCAAGAATAAGGTCGTCAGCCATTTCCTGTTGAATTAAAGTTGAGGGTATAGATTACATTGAAAAAAAAAACAACAACAACAACAAATAAACAAACAAAAATAAAAACGAAAAAGTCTACATATAGAATTGTTGAATAAAGCTGAAATACCTTAATGGATTCCATGTCGTCAGATTTCCGTTTGAGTACATATATAATGAATTGCTGAAAATGTAAATTTGACGATGTCGTATAAATGATATTAAAATATATAGTTTTACTTTGTCTAAGGTACTGAATGTATTAACCTTAAGAAGAAAAACAGTTTACCTTGCATGGATCTATATCGTAATTCAACAGAACTATCTGTCCAAAAAAAAAAAAAATACTACATCATGTTATCAGGCAAACATTTTTGAAAATGAAGCTGGTCAAAAGAAATGTGAAAACAAGAATAAAGAATAATTTCACAGTTTTATGTAAATGGTGGAATTATCATAGATTTATATCCATACAAGAGAAGAGCATGAGAAAATGAATGACAATATTTAATTATCTTATATATTCATTATTTTTACACTCTGAACTTTTATTTGCAATCAGAATATATTCTTTCATTTAAATTTACGAATAAATTATAAGAAGCTAACATCAATCTTTCAATGCTGAAACAATATTTTAATTAATTTTTTTAAGTAACGATCAGTATTTCAGGTCCATTAAGTAAGCAATACAAATCGTGTTACACAAGGAGCAGAGCATTCACGGACTTTAACGTCAGAGATGGGATCAGGTGTCATGAATGAGTGAGCATCTCTTTTCGAACTGTCATGATATGGTTTAGAGATCCATTAAATTATTTTGGTTTAGAATTCGTCTTGAAGTATGTAGTTGCGTTTTCTAAAGGAAATTGAATAAATAGTTTTTGCTTCAAAACATGATACCTTTTTATTTGTCGAAAGCAGGGGAAGAATATTTTGCTCCGTATAGTTTTTCTTTAGGTGCTTCCACACAATAGAGAAAAGTTCATAATTCTCCTGTAACAAAATAATTATAATTTAAAGAGTAAAATTGTAAGGAAAAAATGTCCAGTCTAGGATGAAATTTAAATGTACAACAATTAATTTTAAAAATAATCGGTTTCAATTTAGTCATTAGCTATTCGGACAGCATTTATCAAATATATATAAGCATTGAATTCATACTTTTGGATGTCTTCGATCCTATAACACACCTAGCCTTTCCGACAAATTGAATACCGCGCGTTAGCAAGGTGTGTAAATATAGCACCAACAACATCCAAATATATTATTTCTGATCGATGCTTAAATATCATTGTATTTTTTTTATGCCAAGTCATCAACGATTCGGGATATGTAGTTTTTGCTCTGTTTATCAGTTGTCTGTCTGTCTGTCTGTCTTGATTGCTCGACTGACTATCTGTTCGTCTAAAAAAATTTATATATATATATATATATATATATATATATATATATATATATATATATATATATATATATATATATATATATATATATATATATACCAGCTGTATTCAGTAAGACAAAGTTCCTTTGTTTGCGTTATAGGACTTTTTGATCTCTTTATCTAAAGTTTGACTTGCATTTAGAAACTTGAACCTTCGCCATAAAGCTGTAGTGCGGGAAAATCAATGTCATTGTGCCCAAAACACATATTCTGAGATAGAGAATTATGTGCTCAGTATTTTGATGCAGTCTTGAGTATGCACATAAAAAAGCAACACGAGATAACCATGAAATCATAAAAATGAATCCATTGTGCAAACCGTCTTTTATTTTATCGCAGTGCGATATTCTTAAAATCAAGGAAAGGTTTCATTCTAGTATCTTGCAAACTTTAATAAACTAATATCAGATTTAAAGTGCCTACCTTATCTAATTCTTCCCAAAATGTTGTATATTTGCAGCTACAACAACATAATATACAACATGTCATGACAAATGGTATGATTACCGCAGTTGAACAAACAGCAGCCATTTGTGATTGAGATATCTCAGCTTCTATGATTAAGTACAGTAGAAAAGGACAAAGACAAAATGCTATTAATCCTAAGCTGAATAGAAACCACAGCAGGCAGAGGAATCCACAGTCGTTCAAAGGATACCATCTCTTGAAATCGCTGGAGTTCAACTCTTGAATAATTTCGTCGCAAAGAGAATCAATCTAAAATGAAAGAACTCTATAAAAAGTATCTTACTTCATCTCCATTTTAATCGGACTCATCAATGTGACACATCTGAACCAAAAATGTATAAACAATCCAGATTTACACTGGTGTACAATTTTTTAAAAAAGAAAAAGACTAAAAAGTGAGACATTTTGGTATAAGAACAAGGAATTAAAAAAAAAAATTACTATTCGTACCACCTTAGTTTATAAACCAATTAATTGCAAATATTACTACAAATAGTGGTATATTGGAGAGCACGTGCTCTCGACTTCACACATATATTCAAATCACCAGCTTAAGAACTTTTCATAATTACATGTAGTTTACATATTACTTATGCCTGTTCAATAAATAATGTCATTAGCTCGATAACATACAACATAGTAAACTAGAGTGAAGAAGGATATGGAGTTTCATAAAACAATACAAAATAGGAACAGAGCAACATGGACCTCCGAAACATCAGAGGTGGGATCAGATGCCATGGAGGAGTGAGCATCCCCTGCTGACCGGTCACATCCGCCGTGTGCTCCTTGTCATGATCGGGAAATGACGGAAAAATCCGTCGTCAATTCAGTGTATAAATAATGGACAATTATAGTATGTAAAACGCCAGTGACCATTTGATTCAATGATAAATTGATTTGCTGACAAGGTCATTGTATCGACCAAAGAACTTACGAAATGATGCCTTTAAACGAGACTGTTGATATTCTTGTTTCATCAACTTGCTTGTCAATAATTTACCTCGTTTTAGAAATTCCTCATACGTAGAGCATGCTCTCGCGTATCAAATCAACTGAGAGATATATACTCCGTATGCAGGTGATGAGGGTATATTGCTGCATAAGTAAGGGAAGTAAAGGATAGAAAAGTTAAAGTCATCACGTTTATCAGATAGCTTGATTGTTAGATAACCAATAATGTCTTTTTGAAGTAAAATATCCGAGTATGAAACAGATGTGTCAGACTCTGTGGTATCTTTTATCTCAAGCTCACCAGGATATATCGTATCGACGTAGGAATGGAAATTCAAATTACCATTATATATAAATTATATATAAGATATAAAGTATAAAATATTGAGGAGGGAGCCCACCACACCGAAGGTGTAGGTCTGATGCTATCCCTAGAGGTACAACATGCTCTCATCGGATGGGAACTTGTCAACTCCCGCATAATAACAGCCAAGTTTAACACCAAGGAAATTAAGATCAAGTTAAATCAATGTTATGTCCCCACAATTGATGCTGATGAGGAAAAGAAAGATGCCTATTACCGACAACTACAGGTAGTATTGAATAAAACAGGGAAGAAAGACATGACATTACTTATGGGCGATTTCAATGCCAAAATTTGAGGTGACAACACAGGCCACAGTGAAGTCATGGGTACACAAGGACTGGGCTACATGAATGAGAACGGTGAGATATTTGCAGACCTATGCTCACTAAACCAGATGATTATAGGAGGAAGCATCTTCCCTCATAAAATAATTCACAAGGCCACATGGAGATCCCCTGACCATGTTACAGAGAACCAGATCGACCATATCTGCATTAACAAGAAATTTAGAAGAGCATGAAAAGATGTCAGGGTGATGAGAGGAGCAGACATTTCATCAGACCACCATCTGCTGATGACGGCATTAAGGCTGCACCTCAAGAAGTCCAACAACACGACAAACAGGAGAACAAAGTACAATGTGAGTGCCCTCAAAACAAAGGAAGCGAAGACAGCATACCATCTCAGCTTGTCAAATAGATTCCAGCTACAACAGGAACAGCTAGAAAACAATGATACCAACATCGAGACCCAATGGCAGCACATCAAGGAAATGTGGCAAGGCATGCGAGGAAGTCCTAGGCAGAAGAAAGAATCAGCACAAGGAGTGGATCACTGGTGATACCATGAGGAAAGTTGAGGAGAGGAAGGAAAAGAAAGCGGTGCTGAATACAAACCACAGACAAAGAAGTTAAGAAAAGCATCAGGAAAGATAAAAGAGATTACAGCGACAACCTGGCCAAACAAGCTGAAGAAGCTGCGGGACAAGGGAATTTTAAAGAACTGTATATATTTGAAGAAGCTCTTTAACAAGTTCCAGCAAACAGACAAGCCAGTAAAGGAGAAGAACGGGAAAACTCTCACATTACAGAAGAACAGTTGAAGAGGTGGGTAGAACACTTCAGAGAGCTATTAAATAGACCAGCACCAGAAACACCTCCAGATAACAACCAGCCAATACTAATATAGACCTCCCGATCAACTGTGATAAGCCAACGAAGACAGAGATCAGGAGAGCATTTAATAAACTTAAAAATGGAAAAGCGGCAGAGCCTGATGAGATTCCAGCAGAAACCATCAAAGCTGATACAGAGACAAACATTAACGTCTTATACAACCCACCTCTTCAACAAGATCTGGGAAGAAGAGAACATCCCGGAAGAGTGAAAAGAAGGTATCCTTATTAAGCTGCCAAAGAAAGGAGATTTAAGGGATTGCAGTAATTACAGGGGGATCATGCTCCTGTCAGTGCCTGGCAAGGTCCTCAACAGAATACTTCTCGAGAGAATGAAAGAAGCAGTGGACCCAAAGCTCCGTGACCAACAGGCTGGTTTTAGAGCCAACAGATCATGTGCTGACCAGATAGCCAGTCTGCCCATCATTATAGAACAATCACTGGAGTGGACTTCATCGACTAAGAGAAAGCATTCGACAGCGTGGACCGAGAGACATTGTGGAAGATACTGAGGCACTATGAAGTACCAGAGAAGCTAGTCTCCCTGATTCGAAACACCTACCAAGGCATGATATGCAGGTTGCCCATGCTGGCCAGATGTCTGATAGTTTCGAGGTCAAGACAGGAGATCGGCAAGTATGCTTGCTGTCACCATTTCTTTTTCTCTTGGTCATTGATTAGAACATGAGGTCTACTACATCAGGCAGGAACAATGGTATACAGTGGACACCCCTGACGCAACTAAACGATCTTGACTTTGCAGATGACCTGGCTCTCCTTTCGCACAACCAAAGCCAGATGTAGGATAAAACAACTCGCCTTGCAACAGCATCTGCAGGAACATGCCTCAAAATCAACTTGAAGAAAACAGAATTGATGAAGATAAACACATCTGTCCTAGCTGCAGAACTGTAGCTCTCCGAAAAAAAAATTATATTGGTATAGACCGGAGAGCTACAGTGCCATCCATTTAAAAAACTGTATATTTATTGCACACAAAAAGTTTTCTTAAATCTGGATTAATTCTTCTAAATTCACACCTCAATTGCGAAAAAGCTAGATTTTGAAAAATTCATTACTCCTCTATCAAGTACATTGTACTCTCGTAGTTGACATCTGCATGAAACGCGGTGGACCAAATTATCTTACTAACCAAAATGGCAGTATAAACAGACAAAATTCTCGATGATCTCAATTTTAGGGCCAGAGGGTTATTAACAACAGTTTTAAGGAATGTTTTGTCGTGGAAACAGTGAAAAAATATGTCCGGAACATACGTTTAGTAATATTTGAGATGACGATTTTAAAAACATGAAGCAATAAATCGAGAAACCGTGCATTTTTTGTGCGCAATAAATATACAGTTTTTTCAATGGGTGCCACTGTAGCTCTCTGGTCTGTCAATAATTTTTTTCGGAGAGCTACAGTTCTGCAGCTACCACTGTCCAAGCATCAGTCACAGTTGGCGATGAGCCCATCGAAGAAGTTGAGCCCTTCATCTACCTGGGGAGTGTGGTGGATAGACAGGGTGGCACAGACCGCGACATCAAGTCAAGAATTGGCAAGGCAAGAACTGCATTTACCATGTTAAAGAACATTTGGGCCTCAAAGAATATCCGTATTACCACTAAACTGCGGATCCTCAACTCATATGTAAAGTCCGTCCCATTGTATGGTGCAGAGACATGGAGGGTGACTAAAGCTACCCTGCAGAAGATCCAGACATTTTATAACACCTGTCTGAAGCGCATATTCAACATCCCATGGCCTGAAAGGATCTCCAATGAAGAACTATGGAAAATTTCAGGACAGGAACCAAAGGACATACAAATAAGAGCAGCTCAGAATCGTGTTTGTTGGAGAACTTTTGTTGATGGCCTATGTTCATCACGGAACGACAGGCCAAAGTAAGTAAGTAATAAAATATTGACCATTTGGAGATACCAGAAGTGGTAGAGTTGCCAATGAGGAGTGAGCATCTCCTGTTGATAGGTGACATATCTACCGTGAGCCCATGTATTGATCAAGTAGACAGACCATTCCGTAGTCAAATTCACAAAAAATTACAACTGGTATGAAATTTTTCAGTCTAAATATGCCCCACTGAAAGCGTGCTGACAAAACATTATCAAATGACAATGAAATTGACGAAATGCTGACTTGATGTTGAAATCCCTTTTGAAAATTTCTTTAAACGATAAGCATTTTGTAATGTTCCTTACCTGCTCACATAAGATTTCATTTAGAAAAAAAACTATTTTATTTTCTTACTTTTTGTCACATTAAAATCCTCATATCATAATTCTGTTAACGTATTTTAATTTTATGTAAATATACCGTATGGAGCCCCTTCGTTTTTAGACTTGTTTTCACTGTAAAATAGAGTTGGGTATTGCGAGTGAAAACCATATTGCGATATATTGCAATATTTTATGATAAATATTGCATTATATTGGGATATATGGTAGATTAATTATCATTAATGAATTGGTGCAGAAAGTATAAAATGCTGTCAACGAAGCTCAAAGGCTATTTGAATTTATCTTAAAGTTTTTACTTTAATCAAATACCAGGTAAACTAATAAAACAAAATGAACTCTCTTGAAGCATTTTGAAATTGAAAAAAGTTAATTAATACAGAGTATATAATCTTGTTACATTTTTTAATGTTTTTTTTATTAAAATAGCACAAAATATAACTTAATGACTAAAACAATACATACTATATGAAAATGTGGTCACAGAATAAAATTAAAGCCAGAAAGAAATTGTGACCCATTTTCGGGCTTTTGGTGTTTTAGTCTATCCCGACCTATTTCACTTATGACATACGATCAGGAACTGCATTGGCCTATTTCTACTGTTTTAATACACATGCTCCTGGTATAGCATGGAGTTGTTTAAAATGGCATGAAATGGCCCTACTATAAATATCCTTTACTGAACCTCAATTCACTCGACCTTAAAACCCGCCCGTCCGTGCAAGTTAGTTTGGACACGTTAGTCCAGAGAGGAGGATATTTCTCATCCCTCTCACATATAATTTTGTTTTGGTATCCAGCATTGAACGTTATGGTCCAGTTTTTCTGAGGTAAGATCGTTTATAATTTCATTTTAGTTATTTACAGTGTAAAGTATTATTTATTTGTCCTAAAACATCCAGTAACCGTATTTCTCATCATTTTTATCATGTACGTTTCGTTTAATTTGATTTGTATAATTTATATATAGAAACACGTTTTTGACTTAAAGTACGGTGTAAAATTGCTCTCATGACAAGGAGCACACGGCGGGTGTGACCGGTCGGCAGGGGATGCTCACTCCTCCATGGCACCTGATCCCACCTCTGATGTTTTGGGAGTCCGTGTTTGCTCTGCTCTTATTTTGTATTGTTTTATGGACTTTGAGATATCCTTCTCATAATAGTTTGTCCTTAAAGTAGCAATACGTAATATTGCAATTGTGTGGGAGTTGTACGTATAATTTTAACTTCCCATGAGTATGTGTAATTGAGTCTTATCTAAGACGTGTTCATTTTGATCATATAATGAGTGTAAAGTATATATGTGTAAAGCCACTAGAGCTTGTAAGTAAAACTTGTGTGTATATGTTGGAGCAGATTCCAGCCATACGTCAAAGTTGGTGTCTATTTAAAAATAGAAATACACAAACGTATACCGGTATATACCTTTTGTGACTTTGAATGGCTGCCGATATTGTGACGTTCCTTGGTATTCTCCTCAAAAGTTATACAAGGTAGTCCTAATTCCCAGTGCTTTCTTAATTCGATGACACGAAGAGGTTGTCCGTTGTACAGGTCTTAAGGCAGAATATTTAAAACAAAAACATACTTGTAACGTGAAAAGACAAATAGATATCGATCTTCTCATTTCTCTTATTCATATTCTTTTACAACATAATTAAACTAGTGCTAATTGTAACAGGGACCGTTACAGATGTTCCCCAAACGCTCCCCAACTCCCTTTTGGTGCCATTTTCCCTGTAAGCTTCATTAATTAAGACAAACTCTGTGCATTTTTGACTTAAACAACGTTTTCCCAGAAGGATACATATTATAATCAACTTTTAGCATTGCACCCAAGCACATGTGAATGCATGTGCGTTATGACCATATCATCTTGTCTACACTATCTATATATTTTAATATACTATATATTAAAGCATTCAGTCTAAAGTAATAAAAACCACTCATTCAAGTGTATTTTTAATATACTCATTCACAATGCACGCACGTGCGTGCACGTGCATGATGACCATACCTTCTTGTAGGAGTCCCTTACATCTATCTATGT